CTTGTCAAACACCTGCTGTTGCTGGCCGTGGATCGCTGAGCACGTCGTACTCTAACCCGGAGCGTCCTTCATGCCAGAAGGGCACTGATGAAGGTACATAGGCCGCCCATGATACTGAGTGTGTCCGAAGCACTCTCTATGGCTTCATGAGGCAGGCTGTCAAAAGTCTCTGCACATCTAGCAGGGTGAGGAGGGCAACTTCGCCATTGCTCTCGGCCTTCTCTAAGGTAGACACGACGTCAGCGATTGAGTCTGCTGTGCATCTGTGGTGTCGAAAGCCCCTCTACGGTTCTGCAAGAAAATCTTTTTCCCTTAAAATCTAATTTAGGCGTGCCAGTGTTGCACGCCTAAATTCCAAGAGTTGCACGCAGCGGAGGTGAGAGAGACGAGCCTGTTGGATGTGATGGCGGGCGAGGTATCGAGTATTCTGTTGCAATGGCAGATTTTGTTAAAATCCCTTAACAGGTGTCGTGAGGCTACATCCAAGTTGCGCAGCCTCTAGTATGTGATGCCCTCAGCACCAGGGGAACTACGGGGCTTGGTTCTGGCTAGAGCAACATTCAGATTGTGTTCCGAAATAAGGTCTTGACACAGAGCTGCAATCTTGCTGGCCATCCAGGTCTTTTGGTGGCTTAGGAGCAGGTGTGGTGGCGAGGGCTGCAGGATTGGCTGGCGTGAGTTTTGTGAAGAGACCGGCCAGCCATTCTGCCAGTTTTTGTTTACTAATGCCCAAGTGGATGACCACCGCAATGACGGGTTGGTTAAGTGACGAGGAATAGTAAAAGACTCCATGCTTTTGCGCCTCCTCTTGCCTGGCTGAGAGAGTGGCAGGTACCCTGCCAGCTCTCTCGCCAAGGACGGTTGGCATTTCACCGACATGCCCCATCATACGGTTGAAGTGTGTAAAGTGTGCTGGGTCCTGGGCATTCATGTACCTTCTGTCAGCCCTGCGCCTCTCAGTCCGTAAGTTCAGGTGACGGAGGCATGGCACAGGATGGTGCTCTGGCACCCTGGTCTGGATCGTTGCTACTTGCGTTGCCACTGTAACCAGATTCAGAAAATTCTGATCCTCTGGGAAGTCTCGAAGCTGCCTTCGAAAAGTCCACCTATCGACTCTAGTACAGAACCTTCTCCTTGGGATCTTTCCGCCCACAGGTGAGATGACAATCGGCAGCTGCTGTGAACCCCCAAAGTCAAGCTTTGTTGCGCAATTGTACCAGTCCCCTTTGCTGACCAGAGTGACGGCGATGGTGGAACATGACTGTCATGCTGTCCTGCGGACGAACACAGAGGATCTGGTGTTCAAACTTGTAGGTCCAGTTGATGAATATTGCCCACCACGTCCCTTTTACGAGAAGAACGACAGGTGAGACACTCCCACCTGGTGTGATGAGAATTCGTGTCCCAACTTAGGAGGTTGTCGCTGTAGCAGCAAGGTGGCGTCCCACCACTGTCCAGGTCGCACATACAGCGAGGCCACTGTCCTGTCTCCACCACAGAGCCACACCGTCACGGCACTACACTCAATAGTCCCTCCAGTGATATCAGCCAAATTTATGTGAACTGGGAGGTTTTTTATGGTAGGCTTTTATATATGTGTTACTTCACGTTGCACGTACACTAAAAATGTGGTCGACCGTGCCTATGTGCATTCGCCTTGCGCAGCACGTCCTGGCAGCTGTCCAGAGTTCACGGCGTGACACTTTGGTAGCTGATGCTTCCCGGAAGTTGCAAGTCGTCCGCTACTACGTACACTTTCTGCAAAGCAAGCACATTATACTCGCTCATCAGGAAATGTGAGGAGAGGTCTGCACGCTGCACGCTGCTGCCGCAACGAGTGAGCAGTCAACTGAAGCACACGCGGGTGTTGGCGGTTCCCTGCCGCATGCAGATAAGTGTCAGCCATTGTGGCTGCTCTGAGGGTGCACGCTGCCTGCCTGAAGGCAGATAGAGCGCAGCTGGTTTTCATGAGGCAGCAGTTCCGCAGCCACTCTTAAAAGGAGCCTCAGGTTTGCATATTCCTGGTCCACATGGGGCTGGTAGTGTGCCTTCACACTTGGACGAGGCTTGGTAGGGTCCAGTCGTTTCAAATCAGCTGGTGGAGCCGACTGTTGTGCGCCTGACTGGCCTGGATGGTTCGAGCAGGCTGCCACCTTGAATGGAGCTCTCACTGTGGCAGCGTATCTTGCCCGTGGTCTGCTTCAGCTAAAGACCATCAGTACCCCTAGGGCTTGCCAGCAAGGCTTCTGGAGCCTCGCGATGAGAAACGTAGATGGGATCTGACACCTTGATGGTTGCCAGGTGCCGCTCTCTTTGCCAGAGCTGACAGTCTGTGGGATCAGTAGAAAGAATGTGCCCTGCCACAGTGCAGGCATCTCAACTTGTTGATACAGTTCGCGTCTTTTTCTTGGTTGCCACCATACTGCAGACACTGCTCTGGTCGTCGGAAAGCGGCAGCAATATGTCCTCAGCGTCCGCACCACAGGCACTGATGCGGATGAGGTCGGTGTGGCCTCACTTTGAACACCATGTGAAAAACGCAGACCCGGGCGGAAGGCACGGGAGAAGCGAACCGCAAGACTAATGATGTCCCTTGACTTCTGCCTGCAATCACCGGCACCTCGGATGTCCCAGCTGCCAAAAGGGCTTCATGGGTATAGTCGCTGTCGACGCCTTGCACCACACCACTGCTTTGTGAATGGGTAGCAGAAAGACGGGGAGTCACTGGTATACCTGCGAGCTCCGATATTACGAGAAGGTGATCTATTCATCCTGGTGTAAATGCGTCTGCTCCTACGTTGATCCTTTTGTGTTTACTTACACCGCCTTGAATTCGGGCAGGGTAGAGAGAGTTTACACAATGACAAGACGGGAGTTGCGGTGAAGGTGCGGTGAAAGGAAGCGCTGGCGTTTGCCGGTTGGAAAAAAATGGTGCCTGAGCCTAGCGACAACGATGCAGAGGCCAGCATGGCGTGTTCAGCGGCAAGCACTCCTGCAGGAGGGGTCTGAGTCGCTGTGGGCGCGTTAACAGGCCCGGGGGCCACGTGGCCGGGCATAGTCGTAAGTTCAATGGCAGGATGTGGACGAAAGTGGGTAGTGGGTCCCCGACTTCTGGAGGCTCACTGACGGCGCTTCTTTGAAATAGAGGGGGCAGTCTGAAGCTCAGAATCCTCGGTTCTGTCAGTTTTGTGAGTGACGGAGTCTTTATGGGCAGCCGCATCATTTGACCGTGGGGTAAGCGACGTGACGATGGCACATTCAGTCGCTACGGCATATAAATTCCACAAGACACACTCATCGTCGCTGCCTGCCTTACTAGGACGTGAGCGCTTTCGCGCAAACGTAGCTCCATGTTAGGAAGATCAGGTTCCTAGTCTGCTGGCAGTGGTACGTTATGCGGATCGGTGGCGAGCGCACGGCATGCTCGTCACAGTGCAAGATTCTACACCATCCGCCATGGACGAGAAAGCAGTCAGAAGTCTACCAATTGAGCAGGGATCTTCAGGTTGTGCTCTATGAAGCGCCGCTTCTTTTATCGAAGATACTGTAGTGATAGTGGTGGGGCAAGAGGTTACCGAGGACGTCAGGCCTCTAGAAATCGTCTCTACATCGGTAGCAGGCACCGGTAGGCGAAGTGTTGTCGGTTTTTCGGTGACGACTTTGCACAGTCAAAGTGCCTGTTCATGACGCATCCGCACCACGCTGGCACTAAAGATGATGTTCCACAGCACGTAGGTGCACGCGACACTCGCTGAGCGCCTGTGTGACAATGCGGGAGCCAGGGAACGTGATGGGTGTTCGAATGGAGCAGCCGAGGAGTTTGGAGAAACCTCTGCCATGGTATTCATGATGACAGCTGCCCCAAAGACGCACATGTGACAAAAGACGCTGTCGCAGGGCTTAGGTAACCAAAAGCGGTGGCAGGAATCTGAGTGCATAATCTGTAAAGAGTACTCTCCTTGACGAAACTCCAATGGTTATAACAGTCCAGGAACGCGAGGAGCACTGTGCACGGGGCGCGGTAGCATCTCTCGTTGAGTCGAGAGATCCGAGTAACACGTCTGCACTCTGTGAATGCTAGAGAGAGAAACTCAGGCTAGCAGGTCCTGCGAGACGAGAGATGGGGTGCTGCGAGACGAGAGAAGGTGGAAGGGGTGTGCATGCCCATTCGGGGTTCTAACACTGCGAGGAGCGACGCCTAGAGGAGAGAGAAGAACCGCGAGTAGACTATCAGATACTGCGTGTGTCGGCATTGCGAGGGGAAAGAGGGGCGACACGTTGAAGGAGGGAAGGGACGCGCATACGCGGTTGGAGTACGTGACACACTGCACACCGGATTGAGTTCTACGATAACAAGCAACCCATCTAAAACCGATGGAAGGTCGCAAAATCCACATGGTGCTCAAGAGAAAGACTGTTACTTTGTTGAATTTGCAAAAGTCATATGACCTTCAAGTGATGTCACGTACTCAATTTTGTACGTGCAAGTTCTCGTGACATCCGCAATGTTAAAATAACTGAGTAATCTTGAATTTATAATATGCCATTTCCTTCGTCGCTTCTTCCAAAGTAAAACTATCGCGGAAGCAGTGCGGCAATAACGGGGGTGCGTGTAGCAAGGAGATTCAATAGAAAGGAATACGTTATTAAAAACAAGATACCTTTTGTTACCTGGTTGTCTGAAACGAACCACAAAAAGGCTTTGGCTGTCTTATTGTGCGAAGGATAAATTTTTTTCAAAAGCTAGGTGGCAGTGATATGTCTTTGTTTTCATGGACGACGTCTAGCAACTGGCAATACTTAGGCACGATAACCATAAATCATCTGACGGCACTTTTCACCAATGTATATGAACACCCACAGGCATGCCTGATAGTACTGGTCACTACGCTGTTTCTGCTTTGATAGATCTTTCATGTTTTTTTGTTTTTTTTATCGTGCGAGCTACGTTGTTTTTCAAAAAATAGCATACATAGCAGATGAATTTTTCTTGTTTTCAGCTTGCACACTTGGCGAAGAGTTGCCGACAGCAAGTAAGTAGGCTACGTTCTCGCTATTTCAATTACCAGGCTGATTCTGAACCTTACTTAATAAGGAAACAGAACTGATACCAGTTTATTACGAATGGGTTATCATTTTTGTACTTGTAGAACTGAATGATGCTCTTTTTTTTATCTAGCGACACTTTCACTTCTTCTGCTCACGTCAAGATTACAATAAAATTTGGGAGACGTAGTATAACTGATAAAGACAGCTGTAGCATATTGTGACATGGCTTCAAACGCGGCGCATTTCAGGGCAGACTTGATTAAAAAGAATATCAGAGCTTCCCATTTTCATAATCTCTCTTTCTATAACTATTTAGGACAGCCATAAATAGCACAACTACCACCACCTTCGGCAAAGCCATTTTTTTACCTAAAGCTAAAACATCTGAAATTTCTTTAAGGGTAAAGGATTGATAGGTTGTGGCTTCACGAAAATTCTACATTCTGAAACTGCATGATGATAGGAAATGTATAAATGTGGTTATGAGTCAGTAATGCGTATGTATAGGCTAAGCGTACAACTGTCAGAGTGCACACCACCAGGCCACTTATTCATTAAAAAGGTATATGCTAAGCCTAATTGATTCAGACACGACAAACAAACACTGTATCTAGGGGCGACTACAAATATCTTTTTTTCAATAAAATGAGCAGATTTCTTCAGTGCGTTTCTAATTACGAAAGTCACCAATAACGCTATATCCTTACTATGTCACCGAAGTTGCCGCGCCGGGGCAATAGGAGCACGCGTAGGGTGCTAAGCAGAACTCCTCTGAGTAGAAAGAGCGGCGGATCCCGGAGAATCCGGCACCATCATGCTAAAGTTCTCTTCGTTTTTGTAAACTTTTGCGACTGACAGCTGTGAGAATTCTGTGCGAATTCACAAATAGTGTAAACTTTTAAAAAATGCAGTGCTATTTCTTATTTTTGAGATAGTAAATTGTTGTCACAACGTTCATTACCTAAGTAGTAACTGCAGGTGGTAGACCACAGACATTTACTTCCTCTGGTTACTTCTAAGGTAGCAAACGTCTGTGGTCTACTACCTGCAGTATCTACCTCACTACTACCTGCTGTTACTAATCATGCAGTAAATGTTATGACAATAATTTACTACCTCAAATTAGTATAACTGCCTTTTTTAAGAGTGTGCATAACCAATGGTAACACAGACTTACTGTGTACTGCTTTGTTGCTCAGGCTGTAAAGGTACGAGCGGAAAGATGTCATTCCTTAGTTTTTTTGAAGGACCATGATATGAGGAATGAATGAAAACGTGTAATATTAAGACAGCAATCTGTCGGACCGATATTAAAATCTAGAAAAAAGAGAAAGAGAATCTTTATTATTTATATATATACAGTGAGTAGGAGGGAGGTGGCCCGGTGCGGGCCGTTCCTCACACATACTAGGTGGGCTCTTCATTACAGGAGTCCATTGGCAGCCAACGTCACTAGAGCTCGGTTGACCAGGGCCTTCTAGCTCGCCAGATCTGAACAGCTGAGCAGGGCTGCCTGCCAGTCTTCCCGGGTGGGGTTTGGTTTTGGGGTGAGGTTCGAAATTGACTGGCATGCCTACACCATATGGAAGATGTCCGAAGAATTTTCCGCACATAGCGGGCATTTTGCTGTACCCGCAGGATCAAGATATTTGAAAACTGCTGGTCACAGCATTGTTGTGGTGTAAATGTCAAATCAAGTCAAATCAAATTTTATTGTTGCTATGAAGTAAAGTCATTACAGACAGTATACAGAAGGAGGTCCCGTAGTCGGAGACTGAATTGGGACCTCCTGTGCATGATGAACATAAAAACAAATAAAACATAGCTTCGACAGGAAGGGAAAAATTCCAATAATCATAATGATATGGGTGATCAAGCACATTTCATATTATAAAGAAACCATGTACACGAGATGTAAAGAGAAAAAAGAAAAAATATATATAAATATATACACACATATATACACACATACATATATACACACATACATATACACATATATATATGCACACATATATATACACACATACATACATGTGTGAGAGCATGCTTTAGGGGCTATGAGAATGAAGTGCTACGTGTTGTATTGATTGACAAAGAGCTTTTTAATTCTTTTACAAACGAGTGTGGATTCATTACTTTTAAGATGGATGAAAGTGAATTCCATATGGAAAGTGAGCTAAAATGAGTGGTTTGTTTGCCATAGTTAGTCCGGGCTTTCGGTAAGATGAAGTTTTTGTGGTAAGCAAATCTAGTGTTTTTGGTATTGAGAAGTGAGGAGGATGGGATGATGGAAATGGGAAATATCTCATTCATATGCTTGGATAAACATATGACTAGATTATACTTAACCATATCGCGCACTGTAAGAATGTTGTAGCTGTAGAATAGATGTTTTGAATCGGTGTAATGTGAACTAGAAGTGACTCTTCTAATTGTTTTGTTTTGAACAGTCTATAACGGTGCGAGGTGAGTGTTGTAGGTAGTGCTCCAGGTAGTCATACAGTAGTTGATGTGAGAATGAATAAATGCGTAGTATAGTGACAAGACAGTGGAACGTGAAAAAAAAAGGGCGAGACCGAATGAGGATGCGTATACCATAAGACAGCTTTTTCTTGACATCTAAAATATGAGAGTGGAATTTTAAGTTTCTATCTAGTTTGACGCCCAAGTAAACACAATCATTACTAGCGTGGATCGAATGATTTGGGATGCTAATTGAGGGATCCGTTACTAGCGATCGCTGATGTGATGAAAAGAGAATGAATTAGGTTTTTTGAGGATTGAACTGTAATTTGTTTAGCTTACACCAGTGTAGTATATTGTGAAGATCTGTGCTCAGCTTATTTATTAAACAGTCTATGCTATTATCAGAACTAAAAATCGTCGTATCATCAGCGTAGAGCAAATATTTACAGTGTATGATAAAATTAGGTAGATCGTTGATATAGATTAAAAAAAAGTGGGCCCAGAATGGACCCTTGTGGTACTCCTCTGTTCGTTGTTGTTTGTTTGGAGTAGGTACCGGAAATACTGACCGTTTTGTTTCGATTAAGGAGATAACTGCGAATAAATAACAGAGCAGGACCACATATTCCCATTGCTTCCAGTTTTATGAAGAGTATCTGATTGTTAGTAGTATCAAAGGCTTTTGTTAGGTCAACAAAAACAGATCCAGCTAAATTTCCATCGTCAATCGCCTGCTTTAGAAATTCAGTATGATATAATAAAGCGAGGTCAGTAGAATATCGTGTTCGAAAACCAAACTGAAAATCAGCAAGAATGCTGAACTTTCGAAGGTAATTAGTTAGGCGCTTTTCAAATAATTTCTCAATTACTTTGCTGAGAAACGGGAGCACACATATAGGCCGGTAGTTCGTTACCAATGATTGGTCTCCTTTTTTAAATACTGGGCTAACTCTAGCACGCTTAAGTTCGCGAAGAAAAGTCCCCTTTTTAAATATTAGATTAATGACTTGTGCAACAATGTCAGATATAGATAGAGCAATCAGCTTTATTTGTGATGGACTGATGTCGTCTAGAACAGCGCTAGTGGTTTTTAGATTCCGAATTATCGCGGCTACTTCATCGGCAGAAGTGGGGAACAAATAGAAGGACTGGGGTAAGCGAGTGATTTCGTAATCTAAAACTTGGTCCGATGGCAGATTGTTCGGAAAAAAGAAGTCACTGAATGTATCAGCAATGTCACGTGGATTTGAGTGCACAATGCCGTTATGAATTATTGAAGTAATGCTTCCTCGGTCGCCATTTCTATTTAGAAAGAAATTTACTAATTTCCATTTTTTATCGGAGTTACTTCCACATTCTAATATTTTCTGTTCGAGGTATCTTCTTTTTGCTCTTTTCAAGTACGCACAGAGATTGTTACAGTATTTCTTGTACCTTGCTCTTAGCTTAACATTAAAAGGCTGTTTCTTGGTTTTTTTGTAAAGATTCTCGCATCTGCGCATTGCTTTAAGTAATTTACCAGTTAGCCATGAATTTTGAGGTGACGCAATGGTCTTCTTGCATTTTTTCCTATGCGAATGGGAATGGAAGTAATGTAAAAGTAAAGAAAAAAAGCGCGAGAATGCTTCTTGAGGGTCGTTGGTTTCCCTTACAGCAAGCCAGTCTGATTTCGTAATGTTCTCAATAAGTGCTTCCTTATCCAAAACAAGTTTATGAAAGCATGCGGAACGACAAATAGGAGTTGAAATAGTTTTAAGAATAATGGGATAATGGTCGGTGATATCACTGGTAAGAATGCCTGCTTCAGGAGCGACCAGAAGGTTTGATAGCGCATGATCAATTAGTGAGCATCCGCCGTCACGAGAAAGACGTGTAGCTTGAGTAATTAGGCATTCAAAACCATAACTGTGATAGCAGCTAGAATATGTCGTTAGGTTAGCGGACGCGGTATCAAGCAGGTTGATATTCATGTCACCAACGATAACTACATTTTTATTTTCTGACGATATTGATTCAAGCACATTGTCTAAAGCGTTGCAAAAATCGGTAATGGAGGTAGAGGGTGAACGATAAATACAACCCAAAATAAAATTTTTGTTGTTAATGTTAAGCAACAAATGATCAAATTCTACCCATACAGCTTCACAGTTAGGTAAATTTAGTGCAAGGTCATGCCGTCGTTTGAACGCCAGGTTTGATAATACATAGATGGCTGCTCCACCATGATTGCTTGATGGTCTGTGTGCGTATTCAGATGAGTAGTTGGGGAAGCCGAAAAGATTTTTATCAGCGTCTGAAAGCCAAGTTTCGGTGATACAAATGATAGAAAAGGGCTTTGTGATTGTATAGAGAAGATTTTGAATGTCGTCGTAATGTTTCCGCATACTACGAGCATTGAAATGAATAAGCGAACATGAGCTGTTAAAAAGAAAATGATCTACCTTCGAAGTGTTTAGGTAAACTGACATGGTGATTCAGATTCAGCGATGGTGAAAAAAAAAAACAACAGCGTATG